TATATAGGTATCGATTTGTAAGTGAATGCAGTGGACGAGTATTGTCTCATGTCTTGTGGCGTCAAATCCGAGTCTTTGGAATAGATGTCATCATTTGGTTGTGGAACAGAAGTAGTGGTGGTGTGTACATCAAATGTCGAGGTCTTGGTGACCATTGTGTCCAGTTTGGGTGACATCAACGGTCTGTTTGATCCAAAACTGGTGTTTGTCTGCGAAAAGCCGCCAAAACCAGTGGGTTGTGGTTCACGCGACACACTATTGGGTCGCATGGATGCGATGGCCGTCGACTCCATGTCCATATCGTCCACCACTACTCCATTACCACCGGATATCTGCTGAAGAGTTCGGTTGAAACTAAAGGCTCCCACCCTTTGGTTGACCGCAGGAGTGGAACCGCTGTTCGCAAATTGAAACCCATTTCTGGCGAACGAAGTGTTTTGTGTCTCATTTGGTCTATAGTTGGCCGAAGAGCTACTCAATTGAAACCTCTGCGGAAGCACTGGATTTGTATTACTTGTCGTTATATTATCGAGAGTTTTGTTGAAACTGAAGCCAATCTTATTGGAAGTGTTAGCCGTCTGTGTGTGTCTGCCATCGTATTGCCGACTGTTTTGGTAAGTCTTTTGATAATCTGTTGGCAATCAAAGACATAATGGATTAGTTGGTGATGTGTTGTCATACCGTGAGTGCATACAGTCTTGAGTGTTGTCGATGTGTTGGAACCGACAGTTATTGCCGTAACGACAGTACCCTTTGGCGTAAAAGTGACAAATCGTCATCACTTTTGGTGGTCTTTGAATCACTCTTGGGATCAGATTTTCACTGCAATTCACGTAACGTTTGTTGACATCAAACACATGTCGTAACGGAATATACGAACGACTCTTCGCTGTAAACAACACACGAATCGCTGTATTGTTTGGTTTGCTGTGAAAAGTCTTGTAAATGACAATCGGATCCAATTATCTGTGAATTGATCCATTAATCTGTCAAATGTTGTGTCGATTAGTGGGCCCACCGGCGAGCCATCCACTGCTGCGGTCGGGCGCTGTGTCTGTAGAGCACCGGTACGTGAGGGCAGTGCACACGACATGTGTGTTGTCCGGGAAGCGTAACTTCCGGAAGTTCCCGGTGCCCAATGAGCGAGGTCAGTTTGAACACCACAAACTGCCCACACCACTGCTCGAGAAGGAGTTCGATTACCCCGTCTTCAGGGACACGCTGTTGATCCGATGGCCCGGCTATTGGTTCCGCAAGAAGTTCGTGTACGTCAAGGAAATGGAGCCACAATTGGTTGTTCCCGACCTCAAGGGCTTCCCACTCAAGCCCTACGTGTCGTACAGGTGTCCCGAGATAACGCAGACTGAGTTCACCGCCAGAGATCTCTTCAACGCCACTCTCGCCGACGATATCATCGATAAGTTCAAAAGTGGTCAACAAATGGAGGCGGAGGTCAGTGAGGAAGACGTCCAAAAGGCCCGCATTCGGGCCAAACAGACCGGCGCTGATCTCTTCATTGATGGCAACTTCTTCGGCATTCAGCCATAATTGTCTCAATTAGTGTACATCTCATGTATTCATCAGTTTTTGTTTCAATAAATTATTGATTGTTTTAATAAAATAGTTGCAAATGTTTTGATAATTATATGCATTTTTGTAGTCATTAATAGTTTACAAATAAATCTTATCTTAATTAAGTAATTAATTAATTACTGTATGATTTGTATAAATTGTATAAACCAGTTCATTCAAGAACAGCCTGGATCATCCTAGTTATGTTCCTATCTCTCTCTCTCTCTCTCTCTCACACACACACACACTCACACACACTCACTCACTCACTCACTCTCTCGTGAATGGTTTGTAAAAAGAGTTCAATTGATGGCAATGATTGTGTTGGACCTAATAGAGTGACCGCAAGACGGGTTGATATTGGACTGCAATTTGTGGTGAATGTCGCGAATTGTGTTGAAGTATGTGTTGAACACAAGGGGACGCCAGATGTGAGTGAATGCGTGAACCCAATGAATGCCTTGAAAGGAGTTTTTGTCACATTTATTGTGTTTTTTGAACTCATTTCACGATTTATTTCATGAATTCATAGTTTGACGAAAATTTGGATACAAAACACGTTTTATAAGACAAATACAAACATTGAGTTAATTGTAGTTATATTTGTGATGAATTGCAGTCAAAATACAATTCACTTATCATTTGTAACCAAAACACGGAAAGCCAAACAAAATCAAGACATTTGTTAGCAATTAAGACATTTTGTGGACAATTATCTGCTCGTGAAGATTGAGTGACAGACAGTGAGACACCTGAAGACAAGCGGATCATAGGGTAGTTCGGGACCGATTGGGTGACCTCTTGTCGCGACAATGACATCGATTATCCGATTCGAGGCCATCAGTGGTGTGGGAGACAGTCCGCCCTCTTATTTACTACAAGTGGATGAGTTCCGGTTCCTCTTGGACTGCGGGTTGGATGAGATGTTTTCGGAGACATATATCAAGCAATTGGCGAAACATGTGAAACAGATCGACGCGGTCCTCATATCACATCCAGACGCTCACCATTTGGGTATTTATAGACATTTGTCTCAATTTAGTGACCAATTAAAGCGTCAACTCATTCATGACATGTATTCCCATTGCCGTCGGACAGGATGTCTGCCATATCTGGTGGGGAAGTGTGGTCTGAACTGCGAGGTGTACGCCACGACACCGGTGTATCTCATGGGACAGATGTTTATGTATGACTTGTATCAGTCGCGACACAACTACGAGAACTTTGATCTCTTCACTTTGGATGACGTCGACGCCGCCTTTGATCGCGTCATTCAAGTCAAGTACAACCAAACCATTGCTCTGAAAGGCAAGGGACAGGGGCTTACGATCACCCCATTAGCCGCCGGACACATGATTGGGGGCACCATTTGGCGCATCGTTAAGGACGGCGAGGAAGACATTGTGTACGCCATTGACTTCAACCACAAGAAGGAGAGACATCTGAATGGATGCGTTCTCGAGAGCATAAGCCGGCCGTCGCTTCTCATAACCGACGCGTTTAACGCGAATTACGTTCAGGAAAGGCGTCGCAAAAGGGATGAGCTGTTGATCACCAGTATTATGGCGACCCTTCAGAGCGGCGGCAATGTGTTGATCGCTGTGGACACTGCGGGTCGGGTGCTTGAGTTGGCCCACATGTTGGAGCAGTGGTGGCGGAACCAGGACTCGGGTCTTATGACCTATTCGTTAGTACTTCTAAATAACTTCAGTTATAATGTGATAGAGTTTGCGAAGTCTTTGGTGGAGTGGATGTCCGACAAACTGATGCGATCTTTTGAAGCCCAACGCAATAATCCCTTTCAGTTCAAACACTTACAGTTGTGTCACAAGTATGGAGATTTGGAGCGCATTCTTGAGCCCCGAGTTGTTCTCGCGTCTCAACCGGACTTAGAGTGCGGTTACTCTCGAGACTTATTCTTCAATTGGTCCACAAATCCCAAGAACTGTATTATTTTGACTCAAAGGTGTTCTGTCGGCACTTTAGCCCATCAACTGATGAACAGCCAAAAGGGACGACTCATCACATTAGAGATTAAGCAAAGGGTTCCTCTGAATGGACTCGAATTAGAGGAATATCGACGACAAGAGAATCTTAAGAAAAGCAAAATGAATGCAACGAATGAGGCGTCAGGTGTCGGCGAATCGGACTCTGATTCCGATGAGAATAATGAGAGCGAAGAGGAGGACGAGGGTATGGAAGTGGACGACGGCCTGAACAAGAGTCCCGTCTCGAGCGGCAGCTTTGCGGCCAGCAGTGGGACGTCTCACGCAATGCACGCGCACTCGAGTGTCGTGAAGCACGACCTAATGATGCCTAACAAAGAGGGTAAAGTGAAAGGCGGCGGCTTCTTCAAGCAGGCGAAGAAGTCTTACCCCATGTTTCCGGCGCCCGAACGCAAAATCAAGTGGGATGAGTACGGAGAGACCATCAGACCCGAGGACTACGTCATCTTCGACGTCGTCGGCGCCAACACCGCACAGACCGGCGAAGAGGAGAACAAAGAGAATGTTAAGAAAGACGGCGCCGAAGAGGCCACACCTGAGACCCAAGAAGTGCCCACAAAGTGTGTGGTGAATGTGCAGACGTTTAACATTCACGCAAACGTCCAGTACATCGACTTCGAAGGCAGATCCGACGGCGCGTCCATTCAAAAGATCATTTCAATGCTAAAACCTCGTCGTCTGATTCTGGTTCGCGGCTCTGAAGAGGCGACCGAATCGATGGCTAAATATTGTCGCGATTTTGTGTCCGACAAGATATTTATCCCGAAGCTGTTTGAGACGGTGGACGCGACCACCGAGAGTCACATATATCAGGTGAAACTGAAGGACTCTTTGGTGAGTTCGCTGTCATTCGCTGAGGCGAAGGACGGGGCGGAGCTGTCGTGGGTCGAGGCCGAGATCGAAATGACGCAAATCGAGTCACTTCTGCCCCAAAAGGAGTCCGAGAAAGTGGACGACCCTTCCAGAGAAGGCCAACCGAGCGACGATAGTGCGGCACCGGGTGGTCGGGAACTGCTTCCAACTCTACGCCAACTTCCAGCCAATCAAATCCCGTCTCATCCGACAATTTTTGTTAATGAACTCAAACTCTCGGACTTCAAACAAGTTCTCATGAAAAGCGGAATTCAGGCCGAATTCTCCGGGGGTGTCCTCTACTGTAACAATCAGGTAGAGGTCCGGCGCAGTGAGTTCGGGCGCATACACCTCGAGGGCACCCTTTCCGAGGACTACTATAAAGTTAGAAAAATACTTTACGAACAGTACGCTATCATCTAATAGTATTTCTCATGTTTTAGTTTTTATTATATATTAACGTTAATTGTGAAAACAATTTGTATTTGAATCCGTTTTTTAAGATAAAACTATTTCTAATTTAATAATAATTTAAAATATTATTATTTATTTAAATCTAGACTTAATTATCATTCATTTTGACTCATGTTTTCTGAGACAATTTGTATAAATATATCATATATTCAAAGTTTATTTTTAAATTAAAAACATTCATTACAGCTAACAGTTTATTTGTCAAATATTTTGACATTAATTTGAATCCAATTAATGTTTATCTATGTATTCATTTCGAAACTCAATAATCAAAATATGCTTAACTTATAAGTAATCATCGGATGACGACAAATATAAACATAATTTGCTATAAGATAAAGCAAATACTTGAGAAAAATAAAATTTCCAATCAATTAGTATCAATTGAAATGAATTAGACATAAAATGTTGACCAAAATTGACTTCCATTCACATATTTTACCCGAAAGATGGCCAGATCTCGCACAAGTGAGAAGTTTTGTGAACTTTTTTTTGCCAATTGATTGCTAATAAACTTATAAATGATTATCACATAAGAGATGTGGTTATACGGGTTGGATAAGTATGAAACACACGGACGATGGGAAGGCGCTTATGATGAAAGACGACGGAACTGTTTTCCGTCCCGTCGATCACAAGGTTTGGTCCACTTCTGTGCGCCTCAAAGACATGGATGACACTGGTCAGTTACTATGGGTTCACTACTTTTGCTACAAATAAATTATTTTAACTAATTTGCGAAGATTTTTAGCATTTGCTATAAATTATGACTAATCCCTAATCCGTCTAAACATGACAGGAGTGACTGTTCAGGTGCTGTCAACAGTGCCCGTAATGTTCAGTTATTGGGCCAAACCTAATGACACGGCATATTTATGTCGCTTATTGAACAATCATTTGGCTGGAGTGGTGCGAAGTACTCCCTCCCGGTTCGTCGGTTTGGGAACCATTCCCTTGCAATCGACTACTCTTGCGATCGAAGAGATGAGAAGATGTAAAAATGATTTAAAGCTAAATGGAGTCATAATTGGGAGTCACGTGAATGAGTTAGGACTCGACGACCCTATGTTTGATCCCATTTGGAAAACGGCTGAAGAGTTGAATTTTCCGATTTTCATACATCCCTGGGATATGCAAATGAGCGGTCGGTTCTCCAAATACTGGTTGCCATACATCGTGGGAATGCCCGCCGAAACCACTGCCGCTGTTTTGGCGATGATTTTCAGCGGAGTTTTAGAGAGATTCCCCAAACTTCGCATAGCGTTAGCTCACGGCTCAGGGATGTTGCCGTACATTATGGGTCGGGCGGAGCACGGCTTTCACGTATACCCAGCAGATTTCAAAGCTAACCCATTCCCACCCTCTAAATATACGACACAAATATATTGCGATTCCTTGGTTCACAGCGAAGGCGCTCTCAATCTGGCGCTCAACCACTTCGGAGAAGTCGTGAAACAATTATTTCATTTGAAAACATAATAATATTTATTAAATTGAATGCAATTTATATCTCAGGACTCGATATTTCTGGGAAGCGATTATCCGTTTCTATTGGGCGAACACAGACCCGGATTAATGATAGAGAAAAGTATGCATTTGAGTGATGGCTTGAAAAAGAAGCTCTTGAGTGAAAATGTTTGTAAATTCCTCGACATTGATATCAATCGATATTCGGTCTGAACAGTGAATACAAAGTTCTTTCTCTCTTATCGACTATTGCTATCAATTATAAAGAAATCCTTTTTATTGATTAAACGCTTTTAGAAAATGTTTTTTGAAATCAAGTTTCAGATAAACTGTATCCATATCTTGTGTATAAAATAAACGATTTTTGAAATCAATTTGAAGGAAAATTATTCATTAATGACTTTAATTTTACAGTTTATTGGAATTTATGAGATAAACTGTAGTAACTATACAACAGATAAACTGATTTATGATGTCATCGGAATATTTTAGTAAACAATTTATTAAAGATGAGACCACTTGTCTCATAGTTACTATTTCGTAAACATTTATACTTAATCAGTATAAATGACCATTTACTTTATTTTATATTTATTATATCAATAATTAACATTATACAGTATAAACTTTAGATAATTTCATAAAGTAAAACTAATTAAAACTAAAAAACTCTGTTATTTAGACGGAACATTAATAAAAAAATATATAATATTTAGAATATTGTTTAAAAACTAGAATATAAAATGCTTAAGTTGTGAGATCTTAAAATAAATTTTATTATAAGATAAAACAAAATAACATAAAATAACTTTAAAAGCAAATAATTAATAAATCAATAAAAATCTTACAGACTTAATAATACTATGCTATTACTGTAGTTTGATTTCACGTGAATTAACAAAAACATAAATATTTAAACAAAAGAAAATTCTCAAATAAGTGTTGAATGAAAAAGAGGTGATTGAAGTGAAAAATATGGCCAAAACGAAGAGAAACAAAGCGGTGGAGAGACTGAAGAATCTGGAGGAATGGCAGCGAAGCAAACTGACGAAAACCTATTCATTCGAGACATGGAAACCAGATTTAGCTATAATTAAAGCTGAAAGATATCGACAGAGAATTATTGCCATAAGAAAAACACTATTAATTATATGCATTTTACTCATGTATTGGTATTCGGCAAATATTGTTGCATTGATTTACGACATGATAACTGAGAAGCTTTTGCCATATATTCATTTATTAGGACTCCTTTACAATCTGTTGGCAATCGTATCGATACTTATCTTTGAAAGAAGTGTTAGGAAAAAGCAAATGACTTTAAACCTAATATTTGTATTAATTATGTGGATCTATTTAATCGCAAGCTTTTTAGGAAACATTGTTTTATTCACGTATTTCTTCGCAATCGAGAGCTTCAGAGAGTATTTGAGGCAAAGAATAGTCAAATTTAAGCTTCATTTTCATTATTTGGATTTTATTTCTTCAGTCATTTTGTTTGCCATTTATTTTGCATTAATTGTATTTTTGATGGTTTTAAGAGAAACGATATTTAAATTTAGAAAGTATAATAAAGCGATTAAAAGTCTTCACATAAATCCTAACGAAAATAAAGACTAATTTACAGAAACAATACTTAACTAATAATTTATTATATTAATTTTGCGATCGAAATGATTTTATATGAAAAAATTAATAATTTAGAAACAAAATAATGAATTTTATTTATATACAAACATTAAATAAAATATAAAACTAGAGAAAGACTTGTGTTTGAATTCTTGTTATAGAATTGCGTGAATTTATTGAATTAAGGCAAACAAATAATCGCTGATTAGATCACAAAACAGGGCGTCTATCGAGTCATCCAATGGTTATATAACTTGTCGTTAAAATTATGAAATATATATATATTATATAATAGTTTCTCAAAACAACAGAAATTATTTAAAACTTTTGATGTGGAAATATTTATAAAAATATATTTCGATACAGAGAAAGATATGCGAAATGATTGGATTAGTAATTCAGTCATTAAATTGATTAAAACCCTAAAAGGGAATAGTCTTTCAAAGTCTTTACAGAATATGAAAAAGCATTGAAAATAATGAATAATAACAGAGAATTTCTTCCGAAAAAAATTCTATCGGTTTAATGAATTGTGTGAACACAGAGAACACACCCAAACATAATGGAGTGATATTTGTCCAAAACATCTAACAGTGCTGACAATGCCTCGAAAGCACGGATTGTCAGACAGTTGGCAGTTGTCTTCAGCGATAGGCGAACCGCAGTTCGGAAAGGGATCGCAAAATGCTCTCGAAATTCAAATATGTATTCATGTTTTGCAATACACTGATCATCGGGTCGTCAATATTTGGCTTCATTTGGGGAAACATTAATTATGCCGAGTATTGGGACGTAAACGGCAGCTTCATTGGGGGACAGTTGGCCACCATTTGCGTGGGTAAGCGCTCACCTCATCATCATTTGTCTTCATATGTGTCACAAATGGATGCAATGCTTAGGTTTCATAATCTTTGGTTTGATGGGTCTGTACGCCTCCTATAAGAACAACTATCACGTCATGACCTCATATGCGGTGTTTGTGTTGATGTCTATTCTGCTACGAGTGGTCACTTGGCTTCTGGCCTTCTTCCACAACTTCCCCCTCAAGACCTGGTATTACGTTTGTCTCACTTTCGAAATGCTTATTCTCGTGTTGGCCGCCCTCGTCATGCACAACATCAAACAAAACCACCCTGAACAATCATAACTATTCATATTCAATGTATATATTTTGCCTCAACTATACTTATGGTATTTTATGACACCAAATACTATATTTAATTCATAATTATCTTTATTATAAATATATTAAATCTAACATTAAATAATCTACGTGCTATCAGTTTCCATTTCATCCAGGTTCATTATGACAGAATCCACTTTCTTGGAAAAACAATTATATAAAATGGTAAAATAATTATTGAAATTCTTATATTAAATCTGTGACAAGAATTTGGGATTTGGTGGCAAACAAAGCATTCAATGAGAGTATTAAGAATTTAGTAAATAGATGTCTCTTTACTTTCAAACGTCTGTCTATTCAATCTTTTCCAGTATTGAGAATCTAATTCTAATAGCATTCATTACAATAGCTTACCTTGGACATATAATATTTTGTCATTTATTTTTACTAATTAAATGTCTAAATGATCAATTTGAAATTTTGTTTTACAAGTAAGTAACTTAGTATATAAAACATGTAATTTAAATCTTATCATAACTTATATCTATTCATATACTGTACATACAAATTCTTATACCGTTCAAATCATACATTTCATTTAATTTTTATATAAATACACTGTCAATCGACTGATTTTATTAATGCCTTTTATAAGTTTTGTGAATATATTATATTTTTATGTTCATAAATGTGGGTTTAATTAGAACTAAATTTAATGTAAACTTTTGATTGCAAATTATAATTATTTTAATTATGACTGATATTAAGTAATTAAAATGAAATCTGTTGTAAAAACTAATGAAAGCAAACAATTATTTAAATGACTGCAATATTAAACATTAAATCTGTTGGAAAATATCCATAAAATCTGGGATTAAATTATTTAGAGTATAATTTTGAAGATAAAAATAAGTCCTTATTATTCTGTACTATAGTTGTAATGAATATCATAAGTGATTAAATTAAATGATTTTCAGTTGTTTTTAGATGTGTAATGATATGTAATATACAGTATATAGTACACAAGAAAACATTTATTTTAAATCAAAAACAAAGTCAGGAAAGTTTTTATTTGTTGAGTTAATTATTTAAAATTACTTTACAAATGACAAATAAAATACAACTTATTAAAATAATTTATATACTTAAATACAACCTATCATATTAAAAATATCTTGTACTGTATATAAATTGATCAAAAATTTTACTCAATTAAATGTACATTAAACACTGATAATCTTAAATAAAATATTAAATATTTTAAATAAAAAATATACAGTATAATATATAATACTGTACATATTATGTACTATATTATTTCACAATTGAATGTTAGTAGCAATACATTCTAGCAATGTAGTCTAGGTACGAGTGATTAATCTTGTAGATTATTAAAATGTAAGTGTTTGATAGATTTGATTGAATTTCTGTATTAAATTTTATGCACTAACTTGGTATAAAATTTAGTAAAAATTTATTTCAAAAAGCAATAATTAATCATTTTGTGGTCAATTCTAAGACTACAGGAAATTCATAGAAAATTTTCCACTAAATAACAAATCGGAGATACAGTTGAACTCTAAACACATTAATTATTTTGACGGACTTTCAAACAGGATATTAGCCTTTAATATGTTAAAAATGAGATAAGTATTAGCAAACAAAACGTCTTTATTCTCAATATTTTACACTTTAAAAGAATAAAAAACTAATATTTGATTATATGGATGACCAGTGGGTGGTATTAAGAAACCCATAATTGATTAATAGTTGTACACAACTATTTTTGTTGTCTCACTTCAGATTAAGATTACATTAAAGTCAAAATCTTTCGTAATACTTAAGAAAAAACATTATTTCAAACAATATTCTCATAAGTTACTAGAAAAGAGCCTTTGTTAAATAATTAATTAATAACGTTATTGTATGGAATATTAATACGAAATTAAAATAATAATTATAAAAATATTATAATACTAATAAAACAAAAATAAGGATTTAATGTACAGTGAGTTCAAGAGTCAGGTAATAATTATTGTTTAGATAGCAAAACAAATTTAGTAGAAAAAAGTAAAGACAAAAAGTCTTGAAGTGAGTGAATTGGATGGTGTGGTGTGAATGGTGTTTGGCATGAATTATATAAGAAAATGGCATAAATGGCATTCAAAGGGCAGGTGCTGTTCATAGAGCTCTCGCACGAAGTGACGATTAAGGTATCGCCAAAACCTGCATTAAATACTTTTCGTTGATTCTCTGATTGAGTATTACATGAATGAGAAAGAGTTGGTCCCATCCATGCTATCCATGCCATCCATGCTATCCATGCCATCCATGCCATCCATAACAAGCAGGTGCTGCACGAATCGATTCCAGGATCCATCAAATTAATGCTCACTTTTATAAGAGTTTTCGCGTACAGACACTGGTTTGCGATCATATTTCGGCCAATTTCTGTCTTCATTGCCTATACTTTACAGTCTATTGAACCACATTTACACTCAAATCAATCATCCGCTAAATTCGTCCCTCAAAATAGCTTTGCTTTTAATTACATTCACAAAACAATTGTCTAAAAGATTTGAACCTATTTATCGCACGAATCAATTGGCAAAAAATTTAAGGAATTTAAATATTATTTTACGAGGGGTCTAATAGAAAGGTGAGATTAAATATTGTAAAACCAGTAGCAGTTTAAACTATTGTTTATATAAATTACTAAATAGATATGATTTTTTAAACAGGCAAACTAATTAATATTTAATAAAATAACTTATAATGTCAGGTTAAATAAGTTATTATATAAGCACATACTTTTAACTTTTTACTGTATAACTTATAAATTATAAGTTAAGATAATGTATCTAATCTTTCATGGATAAAATATAAATTGTGAAAACTTTAATTAAAATAATATTTTTAATTAAAATCTTCTTTTATAATATTGTTATAAATGAGCACAAGATAATATACTAACATAATATCTAACTATTCCAAAATTATATTTATAAATGACTAAGGAGCCTTTAATTAATACCTTACTTCGGCTAAACTATAATAAGTTACTAATTTACTTTTAAAATGTAAATCTAAATAATCCATGATAATTATAAAAATGCTTTGTACTTAAATATTAATTTTAATAGATTGTATAAATTTAAACCTAAACACAATTTTAAAAATGATTCATTTCAGACAGTAAATTATCTGTTTATTAAGATTGTCTTCAAATTAAGACAGAAAATACACGACATTAGCAAATATAATAATAATTATCAAAGTCTAATGACTTAATAAAGTATTATTAGAGTTTAGTCTACTGTATAGTCGAGACAAATAATAACAATGAAGGAGAGAGAAGATTATTATTATTACAATTCATAATTATTATGAAATTATATTTGTTTTCCTTCAGACTTAATGATACTTATATTTATTGCGATACAGTATAAGTGCTATCAAAATATTTTGAATATAAATACTCCAATATTTTTAGTTCTTTATTAAATTAAAAGCTAAACATAATTGTAATAAATACTAAAACCTCAATTAAATTTCATATAAATATAAATAATTTTTAAACGATTTGAACAAAAGTTGAATAAAAAGTTTATGTAATAAAAAATAATTGTTTGATTTAAACAGAATTCTTAAAATATCTGAATTATATTCAGAACCTGTACAAATCTTAACTATGAAATGTTTAATCATTATAATTAATTTGTTTAGTTAATTACACTCACAAATGTAAGTCAATTACATTTTTATATATCGATATATTAGATATTTGATCACAAAATAATGCAAAAGTTTGCAAAAATAATTAAATATTTGATATGAATGTGGAGAAAATCAAAATCAAAGAAATGAATGAAAAGACATTAAGAGTAGAGGAGAGAAGGAATCTATCAAAATATTTTGAATATAAATACTCCAATATTTTTAGTTCTTTATTAAATTAAAAGCTAAACATAATTGTAATAAATACTAAAACCTCAATTAAATTTCATATAAATATAAATAATTTTTAAATGATTTAAACAAAAATTTAATAAAAAGTTTATGTAATAAAAAATAATTGTTTGATTTAAACAGAATTCTTAAAATATCTGAATTATATTCAGAACTTGTACAAATCTTAACTATGAAATGTTTAATCATTATAATTAATTTGTTTAGCTTAGTTAATTACACTCACAAATGTAAATCAATTACATTTTTATATATCGATATATTAGTATATTTGATCACAAAATAATGCAAAAGTTTGCAAAAATAATTAAATATTTGATATGAATGTGGAGAAAATCAAAATCAAAGAAATGAATGAAAAGACATTAAGAGTAGAGGAGAGAAGGAAGGGATGGTTTTAGTGATTATTTGAAATAATTAATCAAAAGCTGGTTATTGGATAAGAAGTGAAAAGTGCGAGACATTTAAGAGGAAATTAAAGACAAGGTGTTTGTTGTTATAAAGCTTTTAGGACAACCATTAAATACTCTTAGAGTGTTTCGATGGCATCGTTGGCCAGGCATTTGGCACTCTTTTGATAAGTTTCACTCGGAGTTAATAAATAGTATCATAGTATCGATTGATGAAAGTGAAGCCAATTTGCCTTCAATACAGTTTGGGATGGTTTTAGTGATTATTTGAAATAATTAATCAAAAGCTGGTTATTGGATAAGAAGTGAAAAGTGCGAGACATTTAAGAGGAAATTAAAGACAAGGTGTTTGTTGTTATAAAGCTTTTAGGACAACCATTAAATACTATTTGAGTGCTTCGATGGCATCGTTGGCCAGGCATTTGGCACTCTTTTTATAAGTTTCACTCGGAGTTAATAAATAGTATCATAGTATCGATTGCATGTCTTCAGAAAGTGAAGCCAATTTGCCTTCAATACAGTTAATGGTTGTGGAGCTCATCAAACAAACTCTTCTCATCTGTTGGCTGTCATTAGATGTTGAGCTCACGTTCCTCTCAGACACTCATACAGTGCTTAAGAATGGCTTCTCTATCGGGAAGGGCTAATGACATGACATTTCGTAAGCGCATTGATTCACATAAATATTATATTCATTATGATTACGAAATTATTAAATCTAAAACTTGTAATCAATTGAAATGTGA